TAACAAAAAATCACAATGTCAGATTTTTCCAATATCGTGCGGCCCTAATATATAACAAATTATTTATAATTATTATTTTATGGATAGTGGGTAGCGCTGTCGCCTCACAGCAAGAAGGTAGCTGGTTTGAGCTTCGGCTTGGTCAGTTGGCATATCTGTGTGGAGTTTGCATATTCTTCCCATGTTCGCATGGGTTTTCTCTGGGTGCTCTTGTTTCCCCCACAGTCCAAAGACATGTGATATATGTGAATTGGCTAAACTGTCCGAAGTGTACTGTATGTGTGTTAATGAGATGTATGGGTGTTTCCCAGTGATGGGTTTCAGTTGGAATGGCATCGGCTGCGTAAAACATATGCTGGATAAGTTGTCGGTTCATTCCGCTGTGGCGACCCCAGATTAATTAAGGGACTAAGCCGAAAAGAAAATGAATGAATGAATAAATGAATTATTATTTAATGAGTAAGGAATTTAATAACTTATTATTGCCAATATTATTAGGTGTGTCTTCTCTGATCGATCTGCTAATTGATAATAAGTTAATCGATAATGAGACAGAATAGTAATTTTGTTCTACAATAAGCTTGGTTACCTTTGATTAGGCTGTTCTCACAGGACACTAAGGGCTCTATTTTGACGGTCCAAGTGCAGAGCGCAAAACGCAGGGCGCAAACGATTTCAGGGGGTGTCAGGACGCGTTTTTGCTAATTTAAGGACGGGAAATCTGCCTTGCGCCGCGGCGCATGTTCTAAAAGGGTTGACTTTATTTTCTTAATAAGTTATAGGTGTGTTTTGAGAATAAACCAATTAGAGTCTCATCTCCCATTCCTTTTAAGAGTCAGCTGCGTTGTGCCAAGAGCGCATTCGCTATTTACAGGACGCAAAGTAAGTCTAAGTGGAAAAAATTAGCATTTCACAAGCAAACAGTTAACAGTTAACAGTTTTTTAACAGAAAACTGTTAAACAGGGCATCTACTGCGTGAGAATGAGAGATAATGGATCACTTTCACTTTCGCTCTTGGATAGGGAAACCTTTACGCACAGACATCAATTAGTCTATAAATAAATACTTTTGTTTGTTAAGCGCAAAGATTTGTTTCAAAATTATTTCTAAATTTAGTTCTAATTTTCAGCAAACGAATAAATGAATAATAATAGCAAAATGTGCTCAAAAACCTGAGTTATATTGTAAAACACATGCTGTGCCCCATATGGTCTAAAACCTGACAGGTGGGCAAATCTAAGCTTGTTTTTAATAAAACAAATATAAATATAGATATAATAAATAATACTGCTAATAATAATAACATTATACAAAAGCAAATTGTTATAAATGAACTGAAAAAGCCTCCCGAGATGAAGAAGACATAAAAGCAGTGGTTTTTCATATTTATGTAGGCTAGAAAATAATGTTTTGTAATATTTTAATCCTTTATATTTATATTCTATATCTATTCTTATTATATACTATATATATCCTTAATATTTAAATTTTTTCTTATGTAAAGATATTTGCCTATTGCTCTCTTGTGTGTATTAAGCAGTGCGTGAGCGAGGCGCAACTCTGCGCCGGAGTTTAGACCGGGTTTGTTTTGGTGTAATAAAAAATCTATTATAGATTCTCAAAATAGCAACGCGCCAGCGGTCCGCCTCAGAACGCCTTCCTTTTTAGACCAGAACGCCTATGGGCGCAAAAATGAGCGCTAATGCATCTGCTATTTAAACAGCGTAGAGCAACGCCTCAAAACGATTCTTGCGCCAAGCTGAAACTACCAAAAGACTACTGCGCCACGCCTTGCGCCACACTGCGCCGGGTGTATGATAGCGCCCTAAAAATAGAGTTGAAATATTGTATTGTCCCTCCAGGGGATACAGCTGGATACAAGGATATGGCCAATCCCTAACCCCAATGTAGTGCCATCACTAAGCCAAAAAAGGCAGATATTAAACACACAGATCTATATGCTTGGTTTAGAAACCTAATTCTATATTTTTGTTTTAGTCGTTTAGCTAAATCTTCTGATGTGGCTTGGGTTTCAAGCACCAGCCAACAGCAAACTCAACAGATGTTCAAGTGCTCAAATATTCCAAACTCAGAACCCGTTTCAGCCATGAAAGTGGGCTAAAACCAATTATTGTAAGACTTTTTTGCTGTGTATGCACTAAACTCAGTTCATGTAATGGAAATACTTTGTGTGTTCAAATAAATCACTAATACTATAAGATTCTGTCTGTTAGTTTACAATAAAAAAGAAGTGGTGAGTGAAAAGACGAGAATAGTTGGTAGAAATTTCCCGTACATAAGATAAGATAAAATAAGATTGCTCCTTCACAAACAAGGAGGAGAAAAGCACATTGTTTAAAAAAAAAAAAAAAAAAAAGATTCCAGAAATGTTTGTCCATTTTGCATGCTATTTTCATCAAAGTGAAAGATATGCTCAGGGGATGTGTGACTTTTGATTAATTACTTTTATGGATAGCTCCAGGATTAATTTCAAATATTTGTTTATGAAATAATAAAATGTTCAGTTCAGTGCATACAGTATGTTTTTACATAACTTAAGCATCTATACTGTAACATTTTTTTTTTCATTTTGAGCATTATCAATTCTAGATTAAGTATGTTTTATTTGTTTAGAATATTTTTTTCACATTTATATGATATTGTTAAGACTATGAGTGTACTTGCATTATTATGCTATTGACATACTGTCAGTATATGAAGAGTAGCATACAATGACAATGATGTCATATAGTTCTATTAATCAATCAATTAATTTTTGTGAAATAGATTGTGTGATCCCAAAAGATATATAGAAAACACATAGCAGACTGCATCATGGGATTACTTTATTGTTCAAACACAGAGGAACGAAAGCCACCAGCATTAGCCGTGAGGAGAACAAAGCCCATAGTTTGCTTGGAGGTGGGCGATTGTAAATAACTAGCTGGTTATGTTTAAACTTGCATGAACATCAAACAGGTAAATTATGGCATATTATATATTTATTTATACAAGCTTCTAAATGCTTTCTTCTCAACTAATTTAAATTAAATCCAATGTCACCTTTAATATACATCCTTTTTTCAGGAGTACCATGGATCCCATTTTATTTTATTTAAAAAAAAATTTTCCACTTCCGATATTCTTTCAAAGAAATATGATATAATATATATTTTGCAAAATAATATTAAAAATACATAATATTAAAGGATTGATAAATATTTATTATGAAAACAGACATTAACATTTTTCCCAATGTTTATAACTTATAAGCATATGCTTATGAACATTTGATGAATATTTATGTATCATTTTTCACTATTCATGGTTCCCACTCTAAGCCAACTGTAAAATTACCAGACTTTTCCCTGAACTCCAATTACTTAAAAGCTTTATTTTCATGAACCATAATGAATAGAGAACATCCAGCTGTTATGCTGAGCAGTCAATTCTGCAATCGCTAAGTTTAAAGTGTATTAAAGAAATATATATATATATATATATATATATATATATATATATATATATATATATATATATATATATATATATATATATATATATATATATTAAAGAATTTAAAGAAATGTCAAAATCAAAAAAAAAAGATTGGGATTGCAATATATTTTCAATTCCTACAGATTTCCTGCAAATTTCTGCTGCACCATCTATACTGTTTGATAATACCTGTAAATAACAATATATTCAAATAGATTTAATATGCTCATCTGCAAACATGTGAAACACTGTAACAAAAAACATGGTAGAAAAAAAAAACATTTTCATAAATAGGTTGTCAACATTTTTAATGATGAACAAAAATGCCTGATATTTTATGATTTGTATAACAAACTTCCCCCACTTTTAGTGTCTGGAACAGACAAAATAAAAAATAAATTACTTCAATTGCTTTTTGGCCCATTTAACTTTTAGAATTAGTTCTTGCTGCTAGAGCAGAGGTTGATATGAGAGCAGGGAAACAATCTGTGCTGATGCTCCAGTAAGTCAGCACGTTTTCTTTTTTTTTTCTTTTTTTTTTACTTTTGCTTCATGGCAGCTCAGAGGGCAAAAGTGAGGCAGTTCTACTCTGCAAGCTACTTTCCAGATGAGTGGTGCAGCAGCTGTTTTGCCTTTGCATTTTCCATCAAGATTTCATCAAGTGTGGGATTGGGTAAAGCTGCGTGCGGATGTGAGATTTACGAACAAAGAACTTTACACACTTCCATGGTGTGTGAAAAACTTTCAGAGATGACATCATGCAGCTATGAGTGTGAGCATCTCTGTGACATCATTGCTTGCACTGTGCCTAACAATACAGACACAGTAAGGCCACAGTAAGGCCAGTAATGCAAATGAACTGCATTGATAAAAAACCCAATACATACTACAAAATATTTATTTAATTGGACATATCGCATAGATGTATTGCAGACGATAAAGGTCAAGTTGGTTTTATATTCGCACATTCGGTCTTTCCCCTTAATAATATAATTTCATTAAAGTATTATTTGCAAAATCAACACAGAAATGCCAACTGACACAAGGCTCGCACCAGCGACCTTTTTACTGTGAGGCGATTGTGCTACCCACTGCGCCACCACGTCGCCCATATTAAAAAAACATAACAATAGACTAAATGGACGTCTCTGCAATGTAGTCCTATCAATCAGATGTGAGTAGTCCACATCTACGACAAATTACTGTACCAACGCCAACGTCTACTAATGACATAGAAACTATTTCGTTTTAACAGCTTAAGGCTAATGGGGCTTGCCATAAGAGAAGGACTGTGAGTCAGGTGCACTTAGCACATTTCTCATGTAGAAATCAGTTACTATAATGTAAAGCTGTCACATACGCCAGCATTCACATCTATTCATCCTCTTGTAGTGCACAATTGTACAATTAAAACACAAACTTTCTGTTGATAAATCAACGATATAAGCAGCTCAAGAAGAAGGATTCACAACGAATCAATCTGACATCAGTACAAACTTACGTGAAATCAATATCCGCGGAATCTTCGCCGGTTACAAACGTTCACGCACTGGCAGCGAGGTGGGTTTGGTTCAGTTAACTTCCATTGATCGGTGATCTGCGATTTTCCACGCAGGCACATACACACACAGTCACGCGCTTTGACTTACGGGGCGCCGACTGGTGCAAACTGATTTACAGGATTTTCGTCTGTTTACAGCAGTGTGTTTCGGCAGCAGTTAAGCTATTGCCTGAATAAAGTATGAATGTAATGGCTAATAACTGGTTAGTCCTTTCTCACAATGCTCTCTTTTCTCCTTTGAGTGGCTATGTCTGCACAAACACATGGTGACATCGAGCGGAAGCTTGCATCCTCCTCCGGCACCTGAGCATCCCGCTGATCAGCCAATCACAACGTAGAGTTCAACCCGTTATTATAACTGTACATACGGAGAAAAAAGCTGTTCCACTACATCTCTGAAAGTAAATGTAACTTTGATTTATTGCATATGGGATTATGAAATGATATGTATATACTCAGCAAACTCCATTGTATCCATCATTGAATATGAGTCATTCTATGAAACGAGTGCTATTTCAACTTTGCAGTTTTTCAAAATTATAATTAAATATAGATTTAAAAATTAAATGAATAAATACTTGGAAGACATCTAATCCATAAAAAAATCCCACATCAGGCACAAAATCTGTATTAATTGTAATGTGTTTTTCTTTGGGCAAGAGCCTTCTTGCAACCCTGCATGGACAGAATGATATTTTAGTAGTAAAATAAGAAATAGATTTTTAAATTCCTATTTTTCCTAATAATAAAATTGAATTTGACATCTCAATTACCTCATTGTGCGCACTAAAAACACCCCTTTTTTTATAAATTCAAATCAACTTACATACTCTCAGAAATAAAGGTAAAGGAGCTGTCACTGGGGCAGTACCTTTTTAAAGAGTACATATTTTTTACCTGAAGGGTCCATTATGGTAGGCTACCTCAAAGGTACTTTTTGGGTGCATCTGTGGAATCTTTGGGTACAAATATGTATCTTTTGAAAAGGTACTGCCTTAGTGACAGCTCATGTACCTTTTCTGAGAGTGTACAAAAAAAAAAAAAAACATTATTTATGTAACATTTTGTTTCCTTCCATAAACCTTTAACAAAATGACAACATGACAAGGTGATAACTGATGTGATAGGGTTAATCACTGTGACGGTATGCACAAGTGTCTGTTTATGAACTGCTGACTGCTGAGTGGTGTAATACCTTAATTCGCAAAGTAATATATATATATATATATATATATATATATATATATATATATATATATATATATATATATATATATATATATATATATATATATATATATATATATATATATATATGTTTTGTTTCGACTTGAATAAAAGCAGTTTTTATTTTTTTAAAAACCATTTTAAAATTTAAATTATAAGTCCCTTCAAGCTATTTTTTCCCGATGGTATACAGAACAAATCATCGTTATACAATGACATGCCTAATCACCCTAACCTACCTAGTTAACCTAATTAACCTAGTTAGGCCTTTAAATGTCACTTTAAGCTGCCTAGAAGTGTCTTGAAAAACATCTAGTAAAATCTTATTTACTGTCAGTAAATAAGTTAGTAATTCAGTTATCATAAATGAGTTATTAAAACTATTATGTTCAGAAATGTGTTGAAAAATTATTCTCTTTGTTAAACAAGAAAGAAAGTAGGACAAAAAAATAAACATATATATATATATATATATATATATATATATATATATATATATATATATATATATATATATATATATATATATATATACTTTTTAGTATACAGTATATGGTGAGATGGACCAACACAGAAAGACCAAATGGGACGTTACACCTGGCTCAAAGATGTAACAGTAAGGCAGATAACACAGTCAAATGTAGGCAAACATAATATTTATTCGAACACAGTTAAAAATAACATAATCAAAACATCAGTATCAATACGTTCAATCACTGTGAAAGGCGAATGAATGGATGCAGTAAGTGTTGTCAGTCCTAGTGCATGGATGCAAAGCAAAACATAATTCCACAAACTGAAGCACAGCTTGACATATTTCTGTTGAGTATTTTTTTTAAAGAGTTAGTAAGTGTCTTTGAAAAAATTCTGATAAGCATATTAGCAGAGGTAAGTTAACGTTAGTTGTACGCTACTGACCTCTTGTTTATACATGTTTTGGCTTTTAATTACATATTTATGTGTAGATGAGAGGTTTTTTAAAAGTTTTATTGAAGGTTGTCTACTTTATTTAGCCTAAAATATGCACTGTACTGTCAAAGAGAACAAATTAAAATCCAGAGTGAAAAAAGTAGCTTAACGTAAACCAGCCTGAGCTAATTTTAGAGGGGTTTGGCCATTTCCAGGCTGGTTTCAACCATTTCCAGCCTGGTCTTAGCTGGTCATGCTTGCTGACCAGCTAAAAACAGCCAACCATCTTAGGTTGGTTAAAGCTGTTTTTTCAGCAGGGACATAAAAATAGTACATCCTTATTAAAGCAATATATAGAGCCAATATTTCCTCATATCTGAAGAAAGCTGATTACAGAGATGTAGGAAACAGGGGTAAGACAAGAAAGCTTATTTAAGCGATTAATGTGGATTTTTTCATAACAAATCCCTATATTATCAAACATGTTACATGTTTTTATTCCAGTTATTTTAATAAGATTTTGACATTCATAATTGAGTGTTTTTTTATTACATCACTGTTATTAAATCTGAATTCACAGCAGCAATACTCCAGTATTCAGTTACATAAATCTTTAGAAATGTAATATTGTATTTATAATTTGCTGCTGATCAAGAAACATTTCTTATTTTTATTATGTTTTGTTTGTAAATCAACATCTTATAATGATCTCTAAAGGACCAAGTGACAGAAGATTTGAGTAATGATTTCGACAATTCAGCTTTGCATTACAGTCATAAATTACAGCCCAAAAAATTTTAAGATTCATATTAAAAATAGGAGGTTGACAGTGCTTACACCTTAACTTTTAAGCCGTTAAGAATTAATATATTTTACTACAGGCATGATACATAACTCATATTCATTCATGTTTGGTCTTTTTCTCACTTTTTCTTTTGTTTTCAACAGCATTTTAAAAGGAGCCCAAATGATAACTAGAGCCATTGATAACTCTGACTGCCAGACAGTAATGAGCAAAAAAAAAATTGAGTGGCAGATCTTTAAAAAAAAGATAAGTGGGATGTAGATGTGGAGATTGATATAGATTTCGATTCAAAATGTATTAATTATGAAATATTTTGTAATGCCTTAAGTTCCCTTATGCAGATGTCCATTTTGTAATTTTCAATCATTAATTTGCCTCAACCAGCTCACTTCTAAATTTAACAGTGGTTAAAATGCACTGTAAGTTATAAAAGCTCATGCAAACACAAAAGCACTAAAATACAAATGCAATACAAATAGTCCAGAGCACAATGGAATAAGCAGAACAAGTGATGACCCTGACTGCTATCCTGTGCCACTGTTTCAGATATGACATGTTGATTTGTCTATATTTTTTAAATGACTCTTTACAGTTATTCTACAAATATCCACCAATAAGTAAATATCCATCATCAAAAGTAGAATATGATATTACAATAGACTGACATGTTTGACCATATCTGTAAGATGTTTTAGACACATTCTTAGCGGTGAATAAATGTATACTTAATTTGTATATACACAGCATGCACCATGAAATATTTGCTAAGGACTCTGGTGTTTTGTGCAAATCTGTTATAATCTGTCTAATATATTGTTTTTATTGTTTCTTAATCTTATTTTTAGATTTTGAATCATCCTCCACTCACTCCACTGTTTTTTGTTGTAAGTAATATTATAGTGTCACATAAAAGTATTGCAAATTATTAATTTTTATTGATGTTAATATTAATATAAAATGCATTAAACAAATTAGCACATTAGAATGATTTCTGAAGGGTAAACTGACACTGGGGTAATGATTCTAACAAATTAGTTTTGACTTCACATTAATAAATTACATTTTAAAATGTATTGAAATTGAAAATCATTATTTTAAATGGTGAAAATGTTTCACAGTGTTACTTTAATCAAATCAATCAAATCAATACAGTTATGATGTCCAATTCAAGACGGACGACAACATTACACTGAAGTGTAATAGAACCGGTGAACAGTTTTCACTTTAAATCTATTGGGCCATCCTCTAAGAAAATTCTCTCTTGTTTGTGGCAACACTGATCTGCAACCTTTTGACAGTGGAAAATTACTTTCTTTAAAACTCAGTAAAAAATAAATAAAATAAATAAATAAATAAATAAATAAAATAAAATAATTAAAATAATAAATAAATAAATAAATAAATAAATAACATAACATAACATAACATAACAAAACAAAATAGTAAAATAAAATAAAACTCACTAGCATTTTAAAACTCATGGCCCACTTGATGCACAGTAGTACACATACTCACACAAAGTCATGATATCTGTGGTACTTCACTGTTCACTGAACTGCACAACCAACACAATCTCACCGCAATTCGTAACTTTTTGATTTAGTGGCTAATTCATTTGAATTCGTATGATCTAATTCGTACAATTTAGTATGATTTGCTCATCACCCAGTGACGGTTGAAGTTAGGGGTGGGGTTGGCTGCCACGCCACCTTTTTAAAATCGTACATATTCGTATGACTGAACTCGTACGAATTCTCACGAATTGGCCTCTAAACTATCAAAAAGTAAAACACTTACGTTTCCTCGTGAGATCAGGCTGGCACAACCATTGATTTTAATCTTTCACAATGGTAAATGCTTTGTCATATTGCACATGTATGTGTAAATTCTTCAATCCAAACATTGCCTTCAGCCAAACATTGCCTTCAGCTTAATATCTTTTATATCAGGGGGCGCCATAGCAAAATAAATCAGTTACTCTGAAATCCACAATGTTCTCCTTTTTCAGCAACTTTACAAAGGTTTCAGCAGGGTGGGCAGTATTTGACACATGTATTTTAGATACATATTTTAAATATAAAATAGTTTTTTATTGAACTTGGTGCCTTTGTAGTTTGTACTTGAATTTTTGAGTATGAGGTCTCCCAAAATGTTCTTATTTAAGTACATTGAACTTGGTGCATTTATAAATTGTACTTAACATATAAATTCAAACTTATTTGATGGTAATTTGACTTTTAATTAAACCTAAATTAATTGTAAATGTTTTATTTTAATTTAGTACAATTAATTCTTAACTATAATGTTTTTTAATTATGCATTATGCATATCAAACAGAAATAAGCAATGCACTGCATATTTAACTATTTTATTAACTAAAGGTTAATTGACAGGACAATAATAAGTACACTTTATGGGAATTGTTCATCACTAGAAAAGTCATTAAACAGTAGAAATGCAATATAGACAATAAGAAATACTTATTGCTCTTCTGAGATCTTGAGAGATAATTTTTTTGAAAGCGTCAGAATTGACTTCATTCGCTATGTTTTTTAATGATTCGATTTACCTGCTTACACTGCAGACACGAGAGCACAGATCCAATTCATATTTCCCATTACTTATTTGGGGGCCTTAATTGGGGGCCTGAGAATAAAAGGTCAAGAACTACTGATTTAGATATAGAGACCAAAGAGAGTAAAATTATGTTGTGGGATATTAGGTTTACTTTTCTTCAAAAATATTCCATGCACCAAAATTTACAAAACTATAAGTTCTTTATTGGGCCATCCATCTTTAGAAAAACTATATAGGGCTTGATGACACCCCAAAAAGAAGTACAGCCTCTAGTCCATGTTAATAAAGACATATTTCTCTGCATTTTCACCCAGCATGATTTGTGGTCCACACTGAATGTTTACTTTCCACAAAGAACTATGAAAAAAGCATTCTTAACAGGCATTATGGGTGCTACCCTCTGAAAATTGCATTGGTTGAATGATTTTTCTTTCAGTAGTGTCTGGAGCCTTTAATTGCAAACATAATTTGGTCTTACTGGACCATTTTTGGGCCATAGGACTGACAATAATTTGAGTTAGCCTTTGTGCTACCCCAACACCACTAAGGCTACGTTCACATTGCAGGAAAATGTGGCCAGCATCAGATTTTTTCCACCCTCATGTGACTCAGGTAATGACAGTGTGAACAGCCCAAAACCGCATGGAATCTGATCTTTTCAGTAGTGATCTTCAGTGCTGACACTGCTGTTACATGATTTACCAGTTGCTGCAACAACCTGAAATCTTGAATAAAGTCAAGTCAAGTAATTTTTATTTCTATACAGTGTTTATAATGTAAATTGCCTCAAAGCAGGTTTACAGTATATAGATAAGAAAAAGAAAAAAAAAGGAAAAAGAAAATTTGTAACATATTTCATATCATGGAACATTTCAGCAAATGAGGGAGGAAGCAGAGCAGTGGAAGAATAGCTGCTGTAGTTCAGATTAATAAAAATGTTATTGTTGTAATCCACTGAAGCCCCTTTCCATTTACCATGATTTATTTTCTTACTTTTTAGAAAGTAGCTTTTATTAATTCCATCTTTTGCCCTCTAGAGGTCATCAGTTTAGCGTTAATCTATCTGTAAAACTGTAATGTCCTCTAGTGGTCACTCTCCCAAAGTACATACAACTACATTTCACTACATTTCACAATTCACAACAATTGCAAGATTTTTTTGTCACTAAATTGCAACTTGAGTTTCAACAAAGGTGTAGGACACTACAAATTACGTATGTAATCGAGGATAGCAAAACAGAAAAAAAAATATATATCTAGTAGTCAAAAAACCAAATTGTACGGAAGTATCTGCTGAGAAAATTCATTCATTAATTCATTCTCTCATTCATTCATTCATTGATTTTTGGCTTAGTTCATTTATTAATCAGGGGTCGCCACAGTGGAATGAACTGCTAACTTATCCAGCATATATTTTTACGCATCGGATGCCGTTACAGCTGTAATCAATCACTGGGAAACACCCATACACTCTCCTTCACATTCACATACACTACAGACAATTTAGCTTACCCAATTAACCTGCAGCGCATGTCTTTGGACATGTGGGGGAAACCGGAGCACCCGGAGGAAACCCACACGAACACGGGGAGAACATGCAAACTTCAAACACAAATGCCATCTGACCCAGCTGACAAAATATAAAAACATTACAATTTTTAAGTTTTTAGATTGCATGCCCAGGAGGCTACAGGGTGTCATCAAGGCTAAAGATGGATGGCCCAATAAAGAGCTTATAGTTCTGTAAATATTGGTGCATGGAATATTTTTGAAGAACAGTAAACCTAATATCCCACAACATAATTTTACTCTCTTTGGTCTCTATATCTAAATCAGTAGTTCCTGACCTTTTATTCTCAGGCCCCCAATTAAGGCCCCCAAATAAGTAATGGGAAATATGAATCGGATCTGTGCTCTCGTGTCTGCAGTGTAAGCAGGTAAATCGAATCATTAAAAAACATAGCGAATGAAGTCTATTCTGACGCTTTCAAAAAAATGATCTCTCAAGATCTCAGAAGAGCAATAAGTATTTCTTATTGTCTATATTGCATTTCTACTGTTTAATGACTTTTCTAGTGATGAACAATTCCCATAAAGTGTACTTATTATTGTCCTGTCAATTAACCTTTAGTTAATAAAATAGTTAAATATGCATTGCATTGCTTATTTCTGTTTGATATGCATAATGCATAGTTAAAAAACAAAACAAAAAAAAAAACATTATAGTTAAGAATTAATTGTACTAAATTTAAATAAAACATTTACAATTAATTTAGGTTTAATTAAAAGTCAAATTACCATCAAATAAGTTTGAATTTATATGTTAAGTACAATTTATAAATGCACCTAGTTCAATGTACTTAAATAAGAACATTTTGGGAGACCTCATACTCAAAAATTCAAGTACAAACTACAAAGGCACCAAGTTCAATAAAATTCATTATGTACGTTTTGGGAGACCCCATTACTCAAATAAAATGAGGGATCACATTTACTCAACCAGATGAGTTCAATCAACTTATTAAGCTACCACATTAATCTGCTGAAAGCAAGCATATGTTTTTTGGCTCTATTCTGGCACCTCGCAAAGGGAACAAAGGTTGAGAACCACTAGTCTATATAATCTTAAATTACAAGGACTGCTTGTCTTTATAGTTGTGGTTTGCTAATATATACACATTACAGTGTGTGTTTATGTAAGATAAACTCAAAGTAATATTTTTTAAAAGTAAATCTGAATATGGTAGCTGTCAAACCAGTGCACACGGATTCATGATTTCTTTCTATGGGTCTGAGGTTTTACTCCAAATGTTTGTGCAAATGTTCACATGTCTGATTTATTAACAGTTTTGCAGTTCTTTTAGTCTTACTGTATAGACTAATGTGGGAACTGTTTGAACTTATCCTTTAAAAAACAAGAACACATCAACTTCAAAGCATTCTCGCTGTGTTCTTCAGAGGCTGGAATGTAATTATTATGTGACCACAGAAAGCAGCTAAAAAAGATTTACCAAACAACCGCACAAAATCCTTCACCATAGTAACATTTGGAGATTACCTACTTTTCAACAACAACAAACATTCTCCACATTATTCCTCTGAAAAAAAAAAAATCGCAATTTATATCTGTATAGATTTGCCTAAAAAGTATTTGTTAGACAGAATGTGCATTTTCTGTGGTTGCAAGCTCTTTGGTTTCTGTTTTTCTAACTGCTTGAATATGTCAGAGGTTTCTCTGCTATGTAGTCAACTGCGGATGTGTGTGTGCATGTGGTTGGAAATGTCTTTTTTCTCTCATCTGCATCTGGTGTCCATTAGTGCTGGGAGTATAAAACGATTGCACTGAGAGAGGGAGCTCCACACATAAGACAATCTTTTAACACTCTTCCAGCTATGGCTACAGTGCTGTGGATCTGTCTGCTCTTTTTGCAGGGTTGTCTGCTTATAAATTCTCTGGACTGCACAGGTAAAAGTCTGGAATGTGCTGGAACACAAGTTACAGAAGCTAAGGTAAGGTCTAATTTGAGATTTTGCGTTTTTAAGGAAGGCTGTATGCTCTGTTTAGAATGTAAAATCACTGTGGTTTTGCTTGAAGTAAATTATTCACAAGCAACAATTATTAAGTGTACTTTAAAGTTGTTAAGCAAATACATTAAGTGCACATATTGAAGTATAATTTTCATAAGTTAATTAAAGGCAAATTGCTGATCTCACTATAAGAAATTATATAAGAAAGATTCAATTTGTAGTCTGTGGTCTACACCAGACTACAGTAAAAGCCCTGGAATGCTAAACCACAAGTTTCCATTCCAGCTTGGTTTTGCGTCACATTGACAATACAACAGAATAGCACAATTATACTGGCCATGAGACGGTATGGTTATTTTTAGAAATTAAAGACGGTAATAAAGACACATACCAGATGTGTCTAAAGAGTCAGAACCACAGAGACAAATGTCATTCCACTCATTGCTACTGTGTCTGAAAAGCTTTGACTCAGTAGTCTGTCAACCCAAAATACCCTGAAAGGAATAAACATTTCCAACTTTCCATGGCATTTAAATGTGCCAGGGTGACTTTCTGAATTCCAACTATGCTTTCTGCTTCAACTGTCTAATGTCCAAAGTTAACATCTAGGCATGAATATACACACCTGTGTGTGAAACTATTACACAAACACATGTGCTCTAAGATTGAATTTCAGGCTTTGGTTTGAAAGGTTCAGAGAAATCTTCAGAACTAAACAAGACTTGAAGAAAGCAAGAAAAAATATTTTGTAGAGAACTGTTTGCTGATAAATATACCTGGTAAAAAAAAAGTAATAATATGATACTGAACACAAAATATCTGTGTTAGAGCTCAGTCTGTGGTACAACTATATAAAATGTAGATTCTCACCGTAAGAATTGTAAAAACTAACTAAAGAACAGCTTCCCTTAATCAAGTGTTTGCTTATTACTTAATATTAGACAAAAATAAATAAATAATAATAAAAATAAACAAAAAAAAAAAAAAAGGAACTTGTCCTAAAAGTAAACTTTCACAAACATTTACACAGACCATCTTCAGGTATTTCCGTCAAAAATTTAATGTTTTTGATAGACCCATCTGTTCTCCAAAAGTGTCCAAACACATTTAACAAAGAGTTTGAAAAAGTGGACTTTGGCCTAAACCTTCACTTCATCATATTTAGACCAAACTTAAAATCTATACTTTCACAGTCACAACCTAAGTTTAGCTCTACTGTTTTGGTATACAGTACAGTACTTCCTACTGGTCAGATGGACATGAGACTATATCTTCCCAATGCTTTATCATATACGGACCACAATTTGACTTTATTATGACAATCATAAACAGATTTTGTCCTGCACTGTTTAGGTAAAATGTCACATCGAATAAAAAATGCTATTTTTTGTTTAGAACATTTGAAAGGTCTTAAAACATGTAAACTCTGATAATTGTTGTTTGCTGCTATATTTATTTTATTTTCAGTTTGTTCAAAGATCTTTTGAAGTAATTTTATTTATTTATTTTAATTTTGAAGTTATTAAAATATATTAATAAAATAAACAGTGGCTTGGTCAACTTTTGTGAAATTTTAAAGCATATTTAAAGACATAGTTCACCCAAAAATGAAATTTACCCACCCTTAAGTGGTTCCATTTCTTATAGGTAATATGCACACATGCTTTTAAGGCAGTCTTCAGAGGAAGGAGTGAAACAGGCAACATGTCTGGCTGAAAGATGTTTAAAAAAAAAACTTTTTGAAGTCACTGTGGAAGTTAGATCAACACTTCAGTTACATTTTTAAATAATTTAGATTAATATGTCTAAAAAATAAAATCCCTAAATTAACCATTTGTATGTCCTTGTGTCCTTTTATAGATTAAAGATGAGCCTTTCCTAACTCTGGTGAGTCTTTGCAAAATTTGCAAATATATGTTTGAAAGTTTAAAGTCAGTAAGAATCAATCAATCAATCAATCAATCAATCAATCAATCAATCAATCAATCAATCAATCAATCAATCAATCAATCAATCAATCAATCATTGATGTCTATTTAGTTCACTAGGGTTACATTTATTTGTTTAGAAATACAGTATAAATTGTAATGTAAAAATAATACAATTACAATATGTAATTAAAAATGCATTTATTTACAAAAAATGTAATTAAACAGAAGAAGTAAATATTTCATGTTAATTAATGTGTTCTGCTTTCATTGATTATCATCTGGGATTGATCATAAGAATTATTTTTTTTAAATAAACTCTTCTTACTGTTCTCAGGTGAGGGAACGAAGACAAGCTCAACACACTCAGCAGCCCGGATCCTACTCAGTCAAAGGATCTCCTAACACACTCATCCAGGTGTAAAACACATTCATGTAACAGTAGAGAAATAAATTGAGTAACTTGTGTAAATCATGTAACAGTAAAAAAATAAACTGAGGAGAAATTTAGAAAGACTAAGGGCCCTAATATACACTATCATATTAATTTTGATATTTTGCAACATGCTGTTTAATTGGCATGCATTTGCGCTCATATGTGCGCCCATAGGCGTTCTGGTCCAAAAAAGGAGGCGCGTTGAGGCGCATTGCTGGCACATTGCTATTTTGAGAATATATAATAGATTGTTCAATAGACCAGAACAAATCCAGTCTAAAGTCCAGCGCAAAGCACGTTAGTTATGCGCCTCGCTTACACATTGCTTAATACAGACTGGAAGTACAGCAATACGCAAATATCTTTACATATGAAAAAAATTAAAATATTAAGGATATAAATTGGATATAATGAGGATATATGATATAAATATAAAGGATTAAAATATTACAAAACATATTATTTTCTAGCCTACATAAATATAAAAACCATACATTCATGCCTTCATCTCGGGAGGCTTTTTCAGTTTATTCATAACAATTTGCTTTTGTATAATATTATTATTATTCACAGTATTATTTATTATATGCATATTTATATTTGTTTTATTAAAAACAAGCTTCGATTTGCCCACCTGTCAGGTTTTAGACCATATAGGGCAAAGCATGTGTATTTGGATATAACTCAGTTTTTTAAACACACTTCCTTATTATTGTTCAGTTATTAATTTGATGGAAATTAGAACAAAATTTAGAAATAGTTTTAAAAATCATCTTTACGCTTAATGAACTAAATTAATTATTTAAAGGCTGACAGATGTCTGTGCGTACAAGAAGTTTGCCTATCCACGAGAGTGAAAGCGAAAGTAAGGAATGAGGGGGCTCATCTCTCATGTAGATGCTCTATTTAACCTTTTTCTCTCTAGTGAAGCGTTCAGTTTTTCCACTTACAAAGTCTGTCATGTAAATAGCAAACACACCTATAACTCATTAAGAAAATAAGCTCAACCCTGTTAGACCATGCGCCATGGCGCAAAGCAGATTTTTACGTCCTTAAAATAGTAAAAGTAGATTCTGAAACGCCCTTATTGCTTTTGCACTTTGCGCATGGATCGTCAAAGCCCTAAATGTTTGTGTACTTTTAATTCTTTGCTTTAGATTGACAGGTCAAGGAGACATTTGAATGCCAGTAAGAAGAAGCCCAGGCCTCGCATTGGCTCTTACTCACTTCTTTCCCACAACTCTGAAACTAATCCACTACAGGTATGTGGTCATCAGCTTCAGTTCGCCTTCGGTTGGGTAACTTCAGTGCTTTACAGTGGATTTGATCTTGGAAAATCCACGTATGGGAGGATTCGGTTCAGAAGCCGCTTGTCTGAAAGAATATTGAACGGGCCAATGAATGCAATGAATTGGCAGCGTAAGCTTGCACAGGTGTGCTTCATTGCCAATTATTCCAGCATATAAGCACACCTGGAGCGAGCAAACGCCATCTTTTTCGCTTCAGAGACTTTCTGATCGAGTCGATGAGGGTTCCTCCTGCTGTGATCCAGCGATTCCGAGCGAACAAGAGCATTCTCCCGGTCCAGAGTGTGTACACACAGCGGCAGATGGTCAAGCTGGGTTTCTCCCTTGCCTGGCGTTTTTTGGGTCCGGTCCTCCAGAGCGGTGCGTGTAAAGTTGCAACCTTCACAAAAAGAGCAACACAGTCGTGCAGCACGTCCTTTTCAGGACGGCGCTCCGACTGTGCATTTCTGGATGCGGTGGTTTTCTGTCTATGGATGATGGGCACGGGCACTGCGTTGCATGCCTGGGGGGTCCAGCATGTTAATGCGCTGCTCGCGGGCAGTTCATGTCGTCATTGCGATGCCATGGCCGTTGCGCAGTAAAGATCGCGGCTAGCCTTTGCAAAAGGGCGAACCACCCCAGTTGTCCCCTGCTCTGCAGCGGGCACTCGAGCAGATCTGAGGGTTAGTCAGGGCCCGCTGACCTCCCGCTCCTCTAAGCGCTCCATCCAAGCTTCAGGCAGGGGAATCGATCCGTCTAACAGATGGTAGCCCTTACGCTCGATGACACCGGAGATCAGATGTCCACCGCGGCATCGGAGGGTGGGCTTTTATTGTCCGATGAATATCCACACCCGCTCGCCCCCTCTGGGCAGGTGAGCGCTGTCAAAATGGATCCTGAAACGGACATGTTATCCTTGCTTTCCCGGGCTGCTTCGGACCGACTAGAGGGGCGTCCCCTTCTTCCCGGAGGTGCACAGTACGCTCACGCGTTCTTGAAGGGCACTTTTTTCTGCTTGTGCTGCATGACCCTCCACCTTCTTGGCGGGGTCCGCCTCGTCTCCCATCCAAAGCCTGTAAGTTATCTGCCTCCCTCGGAGCTAGAGCTTACAAGGCTGCGGGCCAGGCTGCTTCCGCTTTGCATGCGATAGCCACCTACCAGCGCTACCAAGCGCAGGCGCTGGCCGAGCTGCACTAGGGTGGGTCCAACCCTGGCTTATGAGCTTCGCACCGCCGACGACTAAGAAGAAGGAATTCGAGGCGGTGAGAGAGCAGTCTGATGAGTGATGTCTTATCGGTGGTCCGTGAGCCCACTCTGCCTGCCGTGCCATTCATACCTGCTCCTCGCCGAAAGCGCCCGCCTACGAGAGCTGCACCGCCCCCCCACTCGCCTCTGGTGAAGCGAGCGCGTCGAGCACCTCGGAAGCAGGCAGCCTCCCCTGCCCAGAACGCCGCTAAGTCCAGCAACAGACTGCGAAGCGTCCCTGGGACAGGCCATCCGGAGAAGAGGGAACTTGCTCTTTCCCCACTGGAGGGTGGGCCCCATTTCCAAAGGCACTTTTTACTGCCATGAAAACATCAATGAAAGAGCACTTTTTCCCTTCCCCGGATTTGACAGCACGAACCTTGCCAGGTTCTACGTGCTTCGCCAGTGGCTCACGAGCGCTGGGGGACGGTCTCCATTCCCTCAGCCCTCCAGCCCCCTCTCCGGAGTCAGGGTGCGTCACGCTGCCGGCCGCCGTCACGCCGCTCGGATTGCTCCATATGAGACCACTCCAGCACTGGCTTCACGATCGAGTCCCAAGACGCACATGGCACGCGGACACACACCGAGTCTCTGTCACTGCGCTGTGTCGCTGCGCCCTCAGCCCTTGGAACGACCCCTCGTTCCTACAGGCCAGTGTGCCTCTAGGACAGGCGTCTAGCCATGTTGTTGTTTCAACAGATGCTTCCAACACGGGTTGGGGGGCTGTGTGTCGCGGGCATGCAGCTGCGAGCCTGTGGAAGGGTGCCCAGTTGCATTGGCATATCTATCACCTAGAGCTGTTGGCAGTGTTCCTCGCTCTCCACTGCTTTTTTCCGGTGCTAGAGCGGCAACACGTGCTGGTCAGCGGCGTGTATCAACCGCTTGGGAGGTATGCGCTCTCGCCGCATGTCTCAGCTCGCCCGCCGTCTGCTCTGGAGTCACCCGCGGCTGAATCGCTGCGCGCCATTCACGTTCCAGGCACGCTCAACCGTGTAGCCCAGGGGCGTTGCTAGGGTCGAAAGGGATAAGGGGCTTAGCCCCAAAGAACCCCCCCCCCCCCCCCTCCCCCAAAAAAAAGTTTTAATTCACTGCACTAATATACCTATTCTAATCTTATTAACATGATTAAAAATGGTTAATAATAAATAAAGGGTTTTTAAGACTTGTAAAATCCAAATAGGAAAAAAACTAGTCTGTTATGAGCCCTATCATACCTCTTGAGCCTCCTATCTCCTCCTGATTTGAAGTTTCTGTTTGTTTTTTGAAAATGTAATTTTCTGCATGTTTTCAAATCTGAAAATATGATTTATTTGTATAGTGTGAGTTGTTATCTAATGTGATACAAAGCTACAAACATGTTCATTTGGACAGAATGATTAACTGAGGTGTTGTCAAAATAATGGAATTTCTAAATTCAATACCTAGCAAAGTATAGATATTCAATAGGCTACTATTTTTTACATAATAACAATTCTATCAAAAATAGTAGGCTAGCTAAGGCTACAAAAAAATAAAAATAAAGATCTATATGCTAGAAATATGTTTACTTTAAATTTCTTCAGAGGGATTTTTTTTTTCAGTTTTCCTCAAAATAGGGTGATGTGGGCATTGTAGCACTTTAAATGCATGTAATGCCTGTTTTATTCATACTTGAGCAGAAATTCCATATATATTCTCCACAAAAGTAGTAGAACATTCTAGGAAATCCCTAATATGGATGAAGGCATCCAGCTGTTGCTGTAGTAGAATAAAAATACGATCTGAATAAAAATAAAAAGGCTTTAACTGATTATTTACACGACTGCGACAATAAATGTTTTATACAGTTGAAGTCAGAATTATTAGCCCTCCTTTGAATTTTATTTTCTTTTTTAAATATTTCCCAAATGATGTTTAACAGAGCAAGGAAATTTTCACAGTAGCCTATGTCTGATAATATTTTCCTTTTGAAGAAAGTCTTATTTATTTTATTTCAGCTAGAATAAAAGCAGTTTTACATTTAAAAAAAACATTTTAGGGTCAAAATTATTAGCCCCTTTAAGATTTTATATATTTTTCCTATAGTCTACAGAACAAACCATCGTTATACAATAACTTGCCTTATTACCCTAACCTGCCTTTAAAGCCTTTAAATGTCACTTTAAGCTGTATAGAGGTGTCTTAAACAACGTCTAGTCAAATATTATTTACTGTCATCATGGCAAAGATAATAATCAGTTATTGGAGATGAGTTATTTAAACTATTATGATTAGAAATGTGCTGAAAACAATATTCTCTCCGTTAAACAGAATTTGGGGGAAAAAATAAACGGGGGCTAATAATTCAGACTTCAACTGTGTGTTCTTCCAACCATTTTAGGTATTTTCATAAGAAAGTCGATTTATAATTTGATTCAAACTGACATAGCATGTTACAGTAGAGTTATATAATAATAAGCTAGATGCATAAACTCACTGTGATTTAACTATTACAGAAACAGATGTTACTTGCTATATCATATAAATATATCATATCTAGAAAGCTAGAACAATTTACTTTTTTTTTTTTTACTTGTATTTACATTAATATGATGCACATTTTACTGATTATAGTTATTTTATGTCACCAAAACTACACACATTTTCTACTGTGGAAACAAGCTTCATCAGTAGTTAAAACTATTCAGTTTCGCGAAAGAGTTGTATTATTACCTCATTAGCTTCAGCTCCTCAAAATAATAAATGAATGATGTGCAGTGTTGGGATTTTTTTAACACCATGTGACAACAGAGCCACTCCCACCTGCCGGTAGAAACAGGTACTGCTGAACAGCTGACGGTTTAATTACCTGACACAAACACTGCGTTAAGTGGAATGTTCGTGATGTATGTGGTAATTTTTAGTACTTACATAACAAAATAAATGTTATACAACATATTTTTATTTAAGTGCAACATATTCCAAGAGATCAGGGGCTTTTGACAATACATCAGGGGCTTAAGCCCCCAAAGCCCCCCCCCTCGCAACGCCCCTGGTGTAGCCTATGCGCTCTCACGGCAGCTGATACGCCCTGGAGAATGGAGACTCCACCCCGAGTCTGTTCAGCTGATATGGGCGCGATTCGGGGAGGCCCAGATCGATCTGTTTGCTTCCCCCGAGAACGCTCATTGCCAGTTGTTTTTTTCCCTGACCGAGGGCTCTCTCGGCACGGATGCACTGGCCCACAGCTGGCCTCGGGGCATGCGCAAGTATGCGTTTACCCCAGTGAGCCTGCTCGCGCAGTTTCTGTGCAAGGTCAGGGAGGACGAGGAACGGGTTCTGCAAGTTGCGCCCCTCTGGCCCAACCGGACCTGGATATCAGAGCTCTCCCTCCTTGCGACGGCCCTCCCCTGGCAGATCCCTTGAGAGAGGACCTACTCTCTCAGGGACAGGGCAACATCTGGCACCCTCGCCCCGATCTTTGGAACCTCCACGTGTGGTCCCTAGACGCGAGAAAGACTTAGGTAACCTATCGAGTGCGGTGGTTGATACCATCACTCAGGCTAGAGCCCCCTCCACGAGGCGCGCCTACGCCCTGAAGTGGAGTCTATTCACTGAATGCTGCGTCTCTCTCTGAAAAGACCCCCGAAATTGCCAGATCAGTATTATGCTCTCTTTCCTCCAAGAGAAGCTGGAGAGCAGGCTGTCGCCCTCACCTCTCAAGGTTTACGTGGCCGCCATCTCCGCTTATCATAACGCGGTAGCTGGCGACACTGTGGGAAAGCACAACCTCATCATCCAGTTCCTCAGAGGTGCTAGGCGAATTAATCCATCCCGCCCCCCTCTCATGCCCTCTTGGGATCTCGCCCTCGTTCTCACGAGTTACGCGCAGATCCCTTTGAGTCACTCGGTTCAGTATGTCTAAGAATTCTGTCCCTGAAGACAGCTCTGCTGGTCGCGTTGGCCTCCATCAAGAGGGTCGGGGACCTGGAGGCATTTTCGGTCAGTGACTCGTGCCTGGAATTCGGGCCGGACTACTCTCACGTTTTCCTGAGACCCCGCCCGGGTTATGTGCCCAAGTTTCCTACCACCCCCTTTAGAGATCAGGTAGTGAACTTGCAAGCGCTGCCCCCGTAGGAGGCAGACCCAGCCCTTTCCTTACTTTGTCTAGTTAGCGCCCTGTGCATTTATGTGGAACGTACTCAGCACTTTAGATCATCTGAGCAGCTCTTTGTCTGCTATGGCAGTCGGCAGCAGGGAAGTGCCGTATTGACGTGTCCCCCGGGATTGCGTGCACACTCCACTCGGATTGTTGCATCCTCTTGGGCGCGTGCACGCGGCACCTCTCTAACAGACATCTGTAGAGCTGCGGGCTGGGCGACACACAACACATTTGCAAGGTTTTACAATCTGCGAGTGGAGCAGGTTTCCTCAAGGGTATTAGGTAACCCTTTGGTGATTGAGGAAACAACTCGGTTGGGTGTTGAAACACGCTTGCTGCACCATTCTCCCTAACACGGAGATACGTGCGCCTTTTTATCTGTCAGTAAAGTTCCCCGTCAGGTGAGCCCTGCAGATTCCTCTGTGGCCCCCATCACTGACTCAACGGAGGAGTCAGTTGCTGGCCCACTACGTTGTAGGTCTGCCCGCTGGTCAGCCCGCGTTTTGGGTATAGGTGGCTGCTATGCGTGATCCCCACTGGCGATCCCATATGCTTATTCCGCCACGGTTAAGTCCCCCCCCTTGGTGGACCCGTGTCTTCTTGGTAAGGTGCAGTCATTATGGCGTTTTCCATAGTTCTCCCATACGTGGATTTTCCAAGACCAAATCCACTGTATAGCACTGAAGTTCCCCAACCGAAGGGGAACGTTCGAGGTTACCTCCTCCTCGGGGAACGAAGGGTTACTTCTCTAACCTCGAACATATTTTTAATACTCCCGTTGACAAAAAATATATATTTTAACGGCAGGAAAAAAATAAAAAATAAACTTTGTTTTATATGTTAAGGTTTTTTGACTTTTTCTAAAATGACACTGACTTTAAAATAAATAATAATTATTTAAATTACATGAAAAATAACAATTTTCAATTTTCTGGCTGTACACATGTACCATGGTTATCTTTAACAATTTGTCAATTTTGATACGCTAGCTATAAAACAATTTTACACCACAAAAACTACTGGTACAGACTGGCATACACACGCCCACTGTAGCAACTCATAATTTAATAACTGCATGTGATGTAACTAAACAATTTTCTCAAAATGTATTTAAAACTTAAGCTCATAATGTAATAATATATTTTTTTAACAATAATTGTAACATAATGTAAAAATTTTTAATGTACAAAAAAATCACAAAATGTAATATGTTATTGAAACATATTACTTAAATGCATTGTTTTAATAAACAATGTCTCAAAAACATACACACACAATAAGAATCTGCTGATTTAACTCTTATGAATATTGTCTTGCTAAAAACCTTTTACACTTATGCATGTAGTTTTTGGTATTACAAAATATAGCCTTTACTTTAGTCAAAAATGAGTGTTGCCTCTGATTAAATGCTTATGAAATTATCCACACTGATGAGAGAGAAAAAATACAACCATTGATGCGTTGTGATGAAGATGTTTTTTTCTTCATGTAAAACAAATTCAGTCATTAAAGTTAGATTTAGCTGCTTTATTTCAGAGGTTTAGTGAAGGCAGGTCATTTTGACCCAAAGGGCAATTTCCAAGACAGCAAGAGGATTAAAGCACAAGTGTTGATATATGCAAAGTAGACTAAAATTACTACCAATAATGCAGATTATTAAAAAGATATTAGATATTTTTTTGTAAAATGAAATCATGTAGATGTTAAAGAAATGACTACTTTAAAAATCTGAAAGAATTTCTTTTTGTGGATCTCTACAACAGGTAGTGAGGCTTTCTAAACATAATGAAGATTTGTCCCATCGGAACATGTCTGGATTAAAGGTGAGTTCTCTCAAACATACACATTTTTTTTTTGACAATTCAGTGTCAAAAGGCAGATGTACAGCTTATTTTCTATTTTAGTCATCGAAGAAGAGGTCCAGAAGAAGTGCACCCAAGAGAAAGAAGAATGTGAGGAATAAAACCTGCTCATGAGATGCTCTTTGAAACACCAGACCCACACTTCTGCTGAACTTCCAAACTCATCTTGGGACAATGTACTCAACAAGAACAAACTGCGGATATGTAATTACAGTTAATGGGCCAGTCACACCGAAATTATGAAGTAAATAAACAAAAACAACTTAATATAAACATGTATACAGCATATTAAGCTTTAAAACATGCATATTGCTCATTTAAAATGTTTATAATTTAATTATATTTTGTTAATATGACTCTAAAAAATGTATTAACTTCTATACATCTATACACACTGCCTGAAAAAAGTGTATCAGGAGCTTAAACTGACCACATTTTAAAACGTGAGCAGATCAACTTTCACAATGATGAAGAACTGCAGTGTCACATAAAATACATGGTAAACCAAACTGATGTTCTCTCTGCAGAGTATCGGCAAGTTTTCCTTAATACAGATTATTGCTTACTTTGTCTTCATGATATACAGTTTATGTAATTCATATAAAACCATTTAATCATTAAATATTTCATGATGTACAATATCTGCCCATCTGATGCATATTACACATGGTGGTAAGTACTTTTGTTAACAGGCAATCTGTAATCTGACTGGCTGGCAAAGAGTCTTCAAAGAGTCAGGGTGCACATGTTATGTTATCAATACATATGGAAACAAATCTGTGGCTTATAGCTTAACATGTTCGCCAAACATCTGTGCATATACTTTTTCCAATTCTGAAAATGGAATCAAGGAAATGATGAGAAGGGCTGGGAATTCTCAGTGGTAACCATGACATAGAGAGATGCACTATTTCACTATATATTGCACTCCTCAAGTCTAATTCATAGTGGATTCCCAGTGACTGAAAAAAAATGTAGATTTGAATTGTGCTTTTATAATATGCTACATTATCCTTTAGCAAACAAACAAAAATTACAAATAAAATGTTGTACTTTATATTTTTGGTCACTTTATTTTGATGGTTTGTTTGTTGAATTTAGGTTACATTCCAACTAATTCTCATTAGACTATAAGTAGACTGTTAGGTTGGGGTTTTGTTTGGGTTAAGGTAAATTGACATGTACTTGCAAAGTTTCTTATAGTCAGTTACAGTGCAATTATTCATAGCACTTTACTTTTTCCACATTTTTTATGTTAAAGCCTTATTCCAAAATGGATTAAATTCATTTATTTCCTCAAAAATCTACACACAATACCCCAAAAATGTTGCTAGGCCACTCAAGGACATTCACTGAGTTGTTTTGAAGCCACTCCATTAATATTTTGCTTTGGGTTATTGTCTTGCTGAAAGATGAACTGTCGCCCCAGTGTAAGGTTAAGAGCAGTCTGAAGCAGGTTTTCATTCAGGATGTCTCTGAACATTGCTGCATTCATCTTTCCCCCTATCCTGACTAGTCAGTTCCTGCTGCCGAAAAACATCCCCACACAGCATGATGCTGCCACCACCATGCTTCACTGTATTGGATGGTATTAACCTGGTGATGGGCGGTGCCTGGTTTTCTCCAAATGTAACACCTGGCAATTACTCCAAAGAGATCAGTTTCAGTTTTAGTCTCATCAGACCAGAGAGTTTTGTTTTTTATGGTTTGCGAGTCCTTCAGATGCCTTTTAACAAGTTCCTTACTAATGAGTGCCTTCTATCTGGCCACTCTACCATACTGGCCTGATTGGTGGATTGCAGCACAGATGGTTGTTCTTCTGTAAGGTTCTCCTCTCTCCACAGAAGAACGCTGAAGCTCAAAGTGAGTAACCTAACACTCTGGACCGGGAGACCCTGTCAAAGTTGTAGTTGATTCAGAATGCTGCTGCTGTATCATAAACTGGACTATATACAATCATCTATACAATGTTTCCCCTATTCTCTAACAGCTTAATTGGCTTCCAATCAAAATTTTAAATTAAGATTATAAATATATTTATTATATATTTTAAATGATTAAGAAATTTCAGATTCTCCATAACCTCTCAAACCTCATTCAACCCTCCACTCCCTCTTGAACCCATCGCTGCATCTCCTCCTTACATCCACTGCTCATTTAACCACTATGGATCACAGTACCTTTAGCTGTGCTGCTCGTTATCTTTGGAATTCTCTCCTAGCTATTTTGCATGATTTAGATTCTCTATCCCAATTTAAAGCTTAACTAAAAACCCACTTATTTAGATTTGCTTGTTTTACATGATTACTGCCATTTTGTAACTGCTGCTTCTTTTATATATATATATATATATATATATATATATATATATATATATATATATATATATATATATATATATATATATATATATATATATATATATTCATTTATTTTAAAGGAGCCTCAAATAAAATAAAATATATTATTCTTATTATTATTTACTCATTCATGTTTCTTTGTGTTAGTCTATAATTTATTATAGGTTACCACAGCTGAATGAACCTCCAACTACCACATATGTTTTATACAGCAGATGCACTTTCAGACATAATCCAGTACTGGAAAACACCCATATACTCTCTAATTCACACACACACAAACTCATACACCAATACAAACAACAATAATAATAATAATCTTAATAGCTGCAAGCAGCATTTAAGGGACCAAGCACTTCAGAACCACAATGAGCAAAGCAGTACAGAGGCCAAAAGTAACAAGGTTAGTAAGTAGCATCAGACAAAGTGAAACAATGAGTTTTTGAAAACATTTGAAGTATGTAATAGCCAGTGGACAAAATGGCTGACCTGCATGGGAAAATTAGACATCATCCGACTCTGCATGCTCCGCCGGATGAATAATAATAATAATAATAATAATAATAATAATAATAATAATAAATAGAGACTGAGTATCATTCTTTATGAAGCCAGAATTTATTATTGGATCTATGTATACAAAATTAGAAATTCAGAAGACAAATTTTATTATCGGAATGGCACAATTAGCCATTTATGTAGCCAGGAGAGAAAAAGAGAGAAAGGGGATTAATTAAATTAACTGCATTGGGTTGAATGAGAACACAATAAAGTAACAGAAATAGCAGTAATTTTAGTTTGTAATTAATAGTAACAAATAGTTTGTTTATGGGCAAATTTACTTTCAATTAGAATTTAAACGATATAATTTTCAATAATATTTTACTCCACTCAATTTTAAACAAACAAGTTGATTTTCTGTATCATGGAAAGAAGAAATAGCTTGCTTTCTCTCATGCAAAGAGCACTGCTAATATAGAATGAGGAACTGTTTAACAGAAAAAAACTTAAGCAATTTAGTTTTGACTGAATAACAAAGTTAGGCAGCGAATTTTAAAAGAAGAGTTAAAGGTGCAGTAAGTGATTTGCATAAATGCTAATCGGTTAGCATATTAGCTTTAGACGGCAGGGGAGGAATTGTGTTTCAAAGCAATGCCTCCTGAAATCGCAAACGCGCATACCGCGACACGACAGCAGACAACACACTAGTTCATGTCAGTCGCCAGTTAGAAGTGTAGTGGTTGGCCCAGCGGCATGCAGGAATTTCACTTATTACTAAGCCACACTTACATGCTATTTCATAGCGAATGTTCAGAGTAGCAAGGTAAACAATATCCGGATCGTTTCACAGGCTGCCATTGTTCAGAAATGACCCAATGTGAATGTAAAAGCAACTTCAGCTAAGTAAAGCAAGCTAGGCAGGATAGCGCAATTTATAGATGTTTTGTTGGTAAACTAAATAAAAATCTACATTATCGATGCTGTAAAAGGCCCTTATGAAACTGAAAAAAGTCTCATCAATCTTTCACCAGGAGATTTCAGTGGCTGAACAACACGTCTGTCCATATAACCCATTTGTAACAACAACATCTGCATCAGCTCTATGTGAAGCTAAAATACTTTTAAAACAGAACATTACCTGTCTGAAAGAAATACTTCAGCCATAGTGTCATCCTTCCTCCAGCGTGCAAAAGTAACTCCAAGATCCATTCAGGAGTTTTAAAAAGTTTCAATTCAGCATTTGATTTTGCCGCAACTGTGACTGTCTCGTGTGACTCATCTAGGTGTGCAGTGCACGCACGGTGCTCATGAATTATGGGAGATGTCGGCCCGACAATATTTAATTGGATGAACTTTTTTAGTTTTATGCCTTACTCAGAATATAAAAATACATATAAACACATTTAGATCATTTACTGTAATCGTTACTATTGGACTATAAAGTGGCTTTCAACCAGCACAAAAAAAAAATTCTTAAGACAATCACCTACTGCACATTTTTGCTTATAGATTGACTAACTTTATCCATAAATTTTCTTCAGAGTCTTCAAAAGAGGAAGTTCTGATGGATCCACATCGAGAGATATTGAGTCAATGCTGGAAAAAATGTAATTTGTTTTATTAACATCATGTAGGACACAAACATTCACTCATATTACACTTAATCTTTTATTCCCCTGACTTAAGGTTTATGTATTGTGTATCTAAAAGATTATTTTGCTGCTGAATTATCTAATCATTTGTTGTTCTTCTCCATAATAAAGTAGTGTGTTCTTAGGTAATTGTACACATTTATGAGTTATCATTAGTTCTGCACATTTAAAGACATTACAATAAATGAAGAGAAAATCTATACAGTTTTACTGCATCACTAATTTGATAAAATTACACGTCTTACAGTAGTCACATTTCAACTAAAGAGACAAATTTTCTAAACATTTTGTATTATGTACTTAAATTGTGTAATTTAATAGTATTTTTCCTAATTCCTTAATTTCCTAATTTTCTGTAAATAACTGAGAGGTGTTGGCAGATTTAAGAATCAGAGTTTAGCTTGGGCTCGTTTCTGTTGGTCTCTGAGCTCCTGGAGAGCAATGGAGGACAAGTGAACCTCATCAGGGCCATCAGCTATGCGTAGAGTCCGTGCATAAGCATACCTGCAATAACATAAAAAATAAATAAACATATCATAAATATGATATATTATATTTATATAACACACATATAAATAAAAATGCTTTTAATATGACAAATGTATTATGTTGTTATGAGTATTATGGGTAAAATAAGATCTGTGCTTTGCGATGTAAACTACATACCTACATTATATACCAGAATCATATCTTTAATAATATGGATAACAAATTATTTTCTTATATATGTGTGTGAGTAATTTCTGTTATAGTTCTGTTTCTTTACAACTTGTTTCATCAAGTTGTGTTTACAACAGAGCTCATTACTAAAACGTATTGCTGCTGTCAGATATATTACAATGTTTTTCAGTTGCACAGTTAAAAACTCACACACATTTACCTAACATAAAATAACTTTGCAATACATACCCAGGAAGTAACAATATAACAATACATTTCTTACATTTCTGCAAGTGGGAAGTCATCAGACACTCCTGCTCCCCCGTAAACCTGAATGGCACAGTCCACCACCTTACATGCCATCCTTCCAGCTGCCACTTTTATCATAGCAATCTGAGGAGGTAAAGAATAAAGAGGGTGAAGATATTAAACATCGGTAGGAAACATATGTCGATGTGTGTGTGTTTGTGTTGGTTGTGGATACATCCTTTATTTAAAAGATTTCTAATGAAAAACAGCATTGGAACCTTATAGGCACCCACATCTCCATAGGAACATGCAGTAAAAGATAATGGCATAAAAATACAGTAAAATGATTCCATCTGACACGCTCTCAGAGGTAAAAGTACAAAAACTGTCATTGGGGAAGTAAACTTTCAATAAGCATATTTATATAATTTTTTTAGGTACTAATAAATACTTCTAAAGATCCACTATTGTTTAAATATTACTTTTGTATGTTGTTTGGACATTACATGTTAGCACTGCTTGTACACAACCACCCTTTAATTTTTAAATCCCTATGAATCATAAAACAGTGTCTGCCCATGTGTTGATTTCAGAATGTGTGCAATGTGACATATTCACAGTCTGACCCTTCTCATGACGTTTGAGGAACACTGCTGTTGTAGTATAGACTTTTCCTTGAGCAGTTTGAACACAGTCTGTAATTCCTGCACTAACAAAGTGCAGCGAGTCCACACAGCTCCTGACATCTCTGCCACTAAAGACAATTGGCCTGTTTCAGTAAGGAGGGTCAACCAACTCGGAGTTTAAACTTGATCTCTGAGTTGACTTAGAGATTAAAAACTCAGAGTTTTCTGTTTCAGAATAGCTGATCTGAGTTAGGTCAATTAACTTTGAGTAGACCAACTCAGAGTTAAGCGCGCATGTCGCAACTATGAAAAGGCAATAGCTATGTTTCCATCCAAAAATGCTAGTTTAATTTATGTGCAAAACTGGAATATCGTATAAAAGATGGGCAAATAAAGACGGTTCTTTTCATCTAACGAATCAAATAGAACAAAATCGTCACTTCTTGATTAACAGGCGCCAAATATCAACAGTAAAAACAGAATTTACCGCGGTAGAAGAAGCTGCGTAAATCTTATATCATTTAATAAATGACTTTCACCTCAGAAGACAATGCTGACACACGATGAACACGTGGTGGAGTTTAAAGCTACAGGAGGCGGAGAACAGACGCTCTTGACATGCTCCAGGCTCTCTGGAGGTAATTAATCATATAATAACACTAATACTGAAACGATTAAGGCATTTAGAATGACTAAAACAACATTTTAGATGTTTTACAATGTGCTAGTTTTGTACAACCTGCTAGTTTGTCCATTTACACACATTTTCACCATCACATGATCTCTTATACTGTAACAAATCTTTTTTAATACACATTCTGGAATTTGTTTGGCAAAAGTGTTTCCATCGTAGTTTAAGCACATCTTTTTTATTGATTAAAAGTTTATTCTACTGAGTTATGTGCATATGTTTTTTTTTGCCTATTTTCGAAAGTTATGTCCATACTAGTGTTTCCATCAACCGATTTTTTATGCGCATATCCAAAATGAGCATAAAAATAGTTGGGCAGAAACAAAAGGCTAGGCGACAAATTCCGCTTTATCTTAAAAAAATAATTCCTTACATTCTTTACATTTACTTAGGTCTTTCTGGACACTCAAAGGGCTTTACACATTGGGGGGATTCTACTCATCCACCACCAGTGTGCAGCATCCACCTGGATGACGCGACGACAGCCATATTGTGCGAGACTGCAAACCACACACCACCTGGTTGGTGGTGAGGAGACTGAGTGATAAAGCCAATTATGATATGGGGATGCTTAGAAGGCCATGATAGACAGAGGCCAGTGGGCAAAGTTGGCCAGGATGTCGGGGTTAAACCACTACTTTTTTCCCCGAAGGACATTTTGGCATTTTTAACAAGCACAGAGAGTCAGGACCTTGGTTTAATGTCTCATTTGAAAGAAAGCACTCACTAAGCAGTATAAAGTCCCCATCAATACTGGGGTGTTAGGACCCACACAGTCCGCAGGTTGAGAGCCCCCTCCTGGTTTCACTAACACCACTTTCAGCATTAACCTGGCTTTCCCATGTTGTCTCCCATCCTGGTAGGGTAGGTTACTATAGCAGTCGTCAATAAAATGAGAGTAAAACAATGCATGGTTGAGGCTATTCTGTGTTATTATTGTAAATTTTTTTTTTGCTTTAACAGTTTATTCCACACAGCCTTATATCTAGGCATCCCACAGTAATCACACATCTTCATGTCGTAATGCAATCCCATTCTTCACAATTTCAGTGAAGGAGGGGGGTTCAAGTTTATTTTTTTTAAATGGGCCAAGAAAAGTTTCTTCAGACATCATAACAAAACAACTGAGTCAACTCCTTTTTGGAAGCGAGGCAATAGATTTTATACACTACACTTTCATTTTTGAACCTAGAATGTGTTTTCATTCATTTGGAGCTGTTACACACTGCATGGAAGATAATTTTCAAAAGGGGCTCTTTTAGTTTTAAACTGTAAATTTCAGTTAAAAATTTGTCCAAAGCAAATAAAAAAAAATTATATTGAGAACGCATTTGGAATACATTCGAGAGCATTCATTACCAAAATGACTGCGAAAAATAAAACTGTTGCTGACTGGGCTGTATCAGCACAGAATGGAACAGTTAAACAAACATTTATATATTTCAGTTTCACTGCCTTTCAGTTTAAAGGTGTAGTGAACATCTGTGGTTCACCATCTGCATTCACCATATTAAACATATGTGACATTAGCAGAGAAGACTATTAATTAAAAGATCCATGTTTTTGTTACAAAAAAAGATTTGATACTTAATTGAATATACATATATAAATATATAAATATATATATATATATTTATATATATATATATATATATATATATATATATATATTTTTTTTTTTTTTTTTTTTGCCCAGTGTTTTTTATTCTGCTGTTTTTTTCCGAAATGATGTTTAACAGAGCAAGGGCATTTTCACAGTAAATCTGATAATATTTTTTTCTTCTGGAGAAAGTGGTATTTGTTTTATTTTGGCAAGAAGAAAAGTAGTTTTATTTTTTTAAAAAAAAACATTTTAAGATACAAAATTATTAGCCCCTTTAAGCAAAATTTTTTCTCGATAGTCTACAAAACAAACCATCATTATACAATAACTTGCCTAATAACCCAAACTTGCCTAGTTAACCTAATTAACCTAGTTAAGCCTTTAAATGTCACTTTAAGCTGTATAGAAGTGTCTTGAAAAATATCTAGTCAAATATTATTTAGTCATCATGGCAAAGATTAAATAAATAAGTTATTAGAAATGAGTTATTAAAACTATTATGTTTAGAAATGACTAATGGCTAATAATTTAGGGGGGCTAATAATTCTGACTTCAACTATATATTAATTTATGTCTCACTTTTAGTCTTGTTTGTTGGTATGACAAACTAATGCTGTCTGAGAATTGCAAGCATCTGGCTGCCCTATTCAAGTTTTAAAGGTCTGACAAGCAAACAGGAGCTATAAAATTTAAAGACTTAAAAATCAACAACAACATGTTTAATTCCAACCTATAGCACACTGGCAACCAATTTCGAGACACTAACATTGGAGTAATGTGTGCTCGCTAACAAACCTTACAGTTAAAATCTGTCAGTGGCACATTGAACCATTTAAAGCCATGACATGAAAGATTGGGGTAGACCAATATATAGTTACAGTACAGTGGTCAAAGCGTGTTAAAGAAAAGGCATGTAAAACTCTTTCAAGATCTGTTTAAAAGATATAAAGAATTTAACCTATGAAGTTAAAGAAAAAAATAAACTGAACTATAGTGAATTTGTATGTTAGTCAATTTTAAGAGTGGAATGAAAAATAACTCCCAAATGATTTACTGAGATTAAAGGAACACATATAAAATTGGATTTTGTGTTTTTTTTTCCCACAGAGTGTCCAAAGATAATAGCTGCCATCTTTCCCTCTTCAAGATGCAAAAAAATAAAAATAAAATAATAATAATAATAATAATAATAAATCATCAGGAGCTCACATCCACCAAGCATACGAGCAGTGTTTATAAAATATTTTTGTTTTTGTTGATTCTGAGTGACAATGAGTGTTCAATTCTAAGATAAATTATGTAAGGGTCTATCCTGTGTGTGTGAGTTTCGAGATCAATATGTCAGTGTTGATTTCTGCTCTTTCATAATCTTATGGAATGTCAATTAATAAACTAGAAAATAATGACTGTATATTAACAGTGTAAGAGAAGAGTGATGAGTTTGACCACTTTAAACTTAAATCACAGAATATCAAACCATTTCAAAGTAAAATAACGAGACTGCCAATATGTTACCTGTTTCCTTGCAGCCTTGTTGCCCTTTGTGTCAAGTGTGTGAGCAGCATGTAGTGTTAAAAGACGCGTCTGTGCAATTGTGATTCGACACTCGGCTATCCAATGAGCAACCACCTCCTAGAGCCAGAAACAAACTTCATTAATAAAGCGTGACACAAAATGACACAATGACACAAAACCAAATCAACACTACATGATTAATGTGAAGTATGAGTAAAAATAGCACCAGCTGCACTACAACTTTCATCCACAGGATGTCAGCAAAAAGCTATGAGGTTAGGGCAGTCAGTGGGCAATACAAAATATTACTCTGGCAAGTTTTGTTGCATTAAGGAGAACAATCTCTATATAAAACAATAATTAAACAGTCATTCAACTGTTCCTATAGTCTATTATAATCTCCTAATAAACATACAATGTTTTATCCACAACCCAACATCAGAATACCCTTGTGAAAATAATTAAGCATCATTAAAAAGGAGCTCTTGTTGCAGAAATAGTACACTCCCAGTGATTATACTTAGTTAATTGAATTTAATGTTTTGTACAATTAACTGTAATTAAATGTAAACTGCATGACACAACAATGATGATGATTAACTCTTTCAACGAGACTGAAAAAAGAGAGAAACTTAAAGGGGAGGAAGGATTTAAATGCATAAGGGCAAATAAATTAAGTAGGATAAAAAAAAAAAAAATGTCAGTGGAAACTAATATGTGGTGGGACACCAAACAAATGGATCACAAAAAAAACAGGAAAGAGCAGGGCATTTTCAAAAAAATCTAAATAAGCAGCAAGTTTTATATATTTACACAATTCTTTCTATTGTTTTTGAAATGAAGTTATTGAGTACTGCAACATAAATGGCAAGCTAAAATATATCTTAAGCTGAGTAACTGTAATATATAGATTCAAGAATCTAAATGAATGATTATTATTTGTCACATGCACAGTTAAACAGAACATATTTAACAAGCAGTGAAATTTAAATTATAAACTACATTCAAAAACATCACATACGTACATGTTGGTACAGTCTTTTTCCAAAGGTTTGTCTTTGGGCTGATCGATGGCAGAGCAGCTCCAGTGCACATTCTGCCAGCCCTACTGCCCTCATGCAGTGGTGAAGTCTACCAGGCCCCAGCCGTTTCTGAGCTATCTCAAAACCCCGCCCCTCACCTTTAAACAGCCAATCAAAGAAGAAACAATACTGTAAATCAAATATACAGTTGCAATCAGAATTATTAAACCCCCTTTGATTTTATTTATTTTTTAAATACTTCCCAAATGATGTTTAACAGAGCAAGGACATATTCCCAGTATGTCTGATAATATTTTTTCTTCTGGAGAAAGTCTTATGCGTTTTATTTTGGCTAAAATAAAAGCAGTTTAAAATTAAAAAAAAAAACGTTTTAAGGAAAAAATTATTAGCCCCTTTAAGGTATATTTTTTTCGATAGTCTACAGAGCAAATCATCATTATACAATAACATGCCTAATTACCCTAACCAGCCTTTAAATGTCACTTTAAGCTGTATAGAAGTGTCTTGAAAAACATCTAGTAAAACATTATTTACTGTCATCATGGCAAAGATAAAATAAATCTGTTATTAGAAATGACTTATTAAAACAAATATGTTTAGAAATGTTATGAAAAAATTTTCTCTCCGTAAAACAGAAATTTGGGGAAAAATAAACAGCGGGGCTAATAATTCAGGGGGTTTAATAACTCTGATTGCAACTGTACATAGATAGCTTTGTCTTACTTTTCTTTTTTTAGTATTTTCTAGTATTCCTAAAAGATTTGTTTAATTTCTGTAAGTGTTTGAAAGATACTGTATCGAATGCATGCACATACATTTGATGGAAATCCAGAACTAAACACACATTCTCATGAATGTATCTCACCAAGGATAATGTTGGAAGCAGGAACTCTCACATTGTCGAAGTGGATCTCAAAATGGCCACCATGGATCGCATCTACAGAGATAAACATCATTTCACTGTATAGTAGGAAAATTCTCAGAAGGCCCTACACACGGTATCTTTGATCTGTGTCACTGCAGAGTGCTTACTGGAAAGATGTAGTGAACAGACAAAACAATGCTGGAGAAAATCAAACAGAGGATTATGAGAGGGTGAGCCTTGTGATGCAAATGTAGATGTAGAAATGGGCTGGTAAGGCCCGTTTTCACTAAGTGGAACAGTATGGGTCACCTTAGACTTGTCTCTCCACTGCTAAAGGGTACCAATGGTACCTTTTTGGTGGGCGTGATGTTCGACAGTAATGTGCAGTTGACATCATTCTCGCTTGAAGTTCACAAATCGTATGAGAAGCACTTCTTACTGAACAAATGCTCTATAAACATAGACAGCGACATATATAACTATTTATATATATATATATATATAAATAATTGTTTATTGCAAACCTTTCTATGAACTTGATTTCTTATAGCTGCAGATCAATGATAATGTTAAAGAGTCTACTATAATACCTGTCATTAAATATATATAAAACCTACAATCTTTAAAATGTTACCAATTACAAATAAAAATACCCAAAACCTTTTGGCCTTCATAAATTATACAAAACATATACAGTCAGTACAAACATCTCATCTTTATTTTTCACCAGCACATGTAACTTTAACATCTTGTAAAAATGTAATTCCATCATCCGAGTTCATATAAGTCCAAAAGACAATGATAATATTTAAAGGGTCACAAAACACCAAAACACATCTTTTGAGCTGTTGACAGTCGTATATGTGTCCAACACTGCTAAAAACAATATTAGGACACATACATCTCACTTAAAAGTAAAAATTGGTTGTTTTTGCGTTAATTCGAGCAAATTCGTACTTCCGGTTTGAAACGAATTTTTGAAGCTGCGTCACGGCCATAAGATCATATCGTGTATTCCAGCATGTAGACTGAGCGAATGTACCTGGGAGTACCGTATTACGTCTCTGAGTGTGCTGCATTAATGCATGAGTAAGACTTGGTTTAAACCAATCAGCACGCTCTATTGTGCAACTTCATTAATATTCATTAATGTTACAGTGTAGACGGCGTCACGGCAGAGACGCCACATTGTGTTGGCAAAACAAGCATGCAGTGTTGCTTTCCTAATTTGCTGAAGTGAAGTTTTGTTTTCATTTTCTCTCTGTGAGAGCGCAGCTGGAATCACGCGTGGATTACAGTGTATGCGACGCGACGCAACACAACAATAACTTACGTCACTAAAGAACATTGTTTACCCGAGACCTTTTCTCTTCTGCATATGGAGATCCGGATTCCCTTCTCTTCTCCTCTTAATAAAGACGCGGTTCTAGTTGCTGTGAATTGTCCTGTCTCTACAGATTTGGTAAGTGAGCGACCAGTGCTCTTTGCTTATTCAGTTTGTTCGTATCAAACTAACTATTGCACCAAGTGTAAACATGTTAGCACCACAACCAAACTATTACCTTTGTGTAGGATTTTAACCGCATTTTGTGACCGGAATAACACACGCGGCTTACCTGCCGAGTGCATCTAAGTTGCAGAGAAATGCAGAGTTTATTTTTTTCTCTCATTCGCCGTGCAGTATCAAACATTGCATGAAAAATATAAGCTTAGAGCAGTTCCTCAAATCAAATATCTCATTTGTCACGAGGGGCCCGAATGAATTCCCTGAATGAAAGTGCCAAACTGCAGTTAAAGTCCACCATTTAATAATTTGGCAAATAATTCGATTACAGATGCCCATGTATACACAGTCACTTTCTCCCCTGTGTGTGTTTGTGTGTGTGTGTGTTTTGACTCTGAAACTCAGCGCGTGGTCAAATAGACACTCCCACACCATACCTCTTTTGCTCCTCCGACACTCCCCCCTAAACAGAGCTGGACACGCCCACTTTTCTGGCTTTTTCCAAAGTAGAGGTGTAAAAACACCCTGCTAAAACAAGGGGGTTTCATGGCCCTTTAAACATGCCAGTTTGTTCATCTTTTAGGTTGCTAAAAGTATCATTTGCTCCTTTGTTTTTTAGGGTTTGTCCATTTCAAAAGGAACGGATGTCAGAAGCACTTTAATAATCATGCGATTATTTTTATGATGAACTCAAGAAGTCTGTAATATCAAATAGAGATGCGCACACAAGCTCTCTGGAGAAAGTGAAACCACTCGTACTTTTTGACGGCCTTGTAAACAACAAGAGGACATAGGGCGGATTCAGCTCTTCTTCTTGGCTATGTGGCTGTTCACCAAGACGACAACAAGGTTTGTTTCTATATTTGTATATGTATTTATTATAATGGTGTTATGTCTCGGACACGACATAAAATCGTACCAACCCGTACAATACCGAACCACTCAATGGAAACAGGCCATAAACCACACAGATGATAAGAAACCGCCAACAGTGAACTTGAGGTGAGGATCCGATAAGTTTGATGTGGCATGACAAATGTTTACTCAGAACTCACCGTCCTGTCCAAAAACAGTAAGTGGCCTTATTTTCTTTACTCCTGGTGTGTTCATAGGGACCAGAATCATGGTGTGCACCCCATGCCTGAAAACATTTGCACATTTACACACATATTCACCATTAATAACACACGGGTAACACTTTACAATGACCATGGTACACATAACAACTATAAACATAACAACAGGGCCAAGAGCAATTGCCGCTGCCGCCATCACCTTAGTAGTACTTGTGGTAGAAAGTAGAATGCCGCGAGTTTGACAAAAACTTTAAAAACGTATATTTTACTATATATATTTACAGTTAAAGTCAGAATTATTAGCCCCCCTGAATTTTTAGCCCCCGTTTATAATTTTCTCCAATTTCTGTTTAATGGAGAGAAGATTTTTCCAACACATTTCTAAACATGAAAAAGATTTAATAACTCATCTCTAATAACTGCTTTTTTTTTAATCTTTGCCATGATGACAGTAAATAATGTTTTACTAGATATTTTTCAAGACACTTTTATACAGCTTAAAGTAACATTTAAAGGCTTAACTAGGTTAATTAGGCTAACTAAGCAGGTAGGGTAATTAGGCAAGTTATTGTTTAATGATGGTTTGTTCTGAAGACTATCGAAAAAAAATATAGCTTAAAGGGGCTAATAATTTTGACCTTAAATTGGTGTTAAAAAAATTAAAAAGCCGAAATAAAACAAATAAGACTTTCTCTAGAAGAAAAAAATATTATCAGACATACTGTGAAAATTTCCTTGCTTTGTTAAACATGATTTGGGAAAAAGAAAGCAAAATTCAAAGGGGGGCTAATAGTATAATAAATGTACAATACATCACGTCTCCAAAATTAACTGCCCTCATTTTCATAAATCACTTGATAACTCGATATATTGATCTTGACAGACCTACGTTAGACCAACTACTGTCATCAGAAAATGTGTAGTTGCTGCATTTAATGCCTGTTTCATTTAGGGTTCTTTAAGAGGGTAGGGGTGGGAGCAACTGCTAGAGCCTCTGTTTGTACTGAAAAAGTTCTGTTGGTGGCATTACTAATATCTGTCTTTGGTATCTGTGTGTTTTATCAAGTTTGAATACAAATACACGGCCAGATACCAATGCCAGTATCGGTGCATCCCAAGTTAAAACTGTTTATTTTGCAAATATCTGCCTCATTTTGGCTTATTTTAGACAAGTGGTAAATGCTCACTTTATTTGAAGAAGGGTTGAGGAGGAGGGAGTGTGGATTGGTGGTTTGAGTTGTATTTGGTGTTTGCCCTGTCTATTTTGAACTTGAATCCAATATTGCTTTAATAGCTTATTGCTCTGAAATGTCATATTACGTAAACAAATATGGGATAAAGCGGATCTAAAGGTGCTGAAGGCACCACCTGTCTGTCTGCTCTATGTGTCCTCTCCTTTGAGCTTTTGCAGAATGACACTTAATGTGAAAATGGTATTTGGAATTTGAAAAAGTACATTAGAACAAGACATTGATGAAAGTCGATTGGAGTGACAGCAACAGGTCAAGCATCAATGCCTAGACTTAATAGAAATAAAAGCAACTTATGAATAAAAGGCCAACATGTATTTTGTCCCAAAGTAAATATTGCTATTAATTTGCATTTGATTTAGCCATTAAACAAGTACGACAACGTTGCTGGCTGATGATTGCCAACACAATCATTCACATGTCTCAGTTGTTTGTAGTTTGTGCAGTAACCCAATCTGCTAGCCAAGGCAGGACTGAAGTAAACCCTACAAAGTGAGAACGTCTCTAACTGAGTACCTGGTAGCTGTTTCTTGAGATGAGCAGTCACAAGAACAAACTCCAGAGGTATTTTGCAACGTTGCATTTTGATGAGTTATTATATTAAAAACTGTGTTCTACTCAGAAAATGTTCCCTTCATGCTGGTAATTGTATTGATCTTATAGTCCAGGTTAAAGTGTCCATTAAGTTTTGACCAGTTATTTCAAAAACTGTCTTGCTGGTCATGCCAGTATAAAGAAGTATGACAGAATTCTATGTAATGATGTTTTCAGTTTTGCTAAAACTTGCCACACATGTCAGCTCACTGGTAAAACTGTCCACTCTGCGTCTAATTCCAGCTGTGTGTCAACAATTCAAGAGTCACATCACTGACTGTGTCAGCCCACATCCTCTTCCTAGCTTTAAAGCTGGAAGTGAGTATTTGCTTATGGTAATGTGCCTGGTTACTCATTGTCTGACCACTTTTCCATTGCTTTCCATTAATATGAAATCTATCATAAATCACAGTTCATTTAAAATTTTCGCCTAAAATTAACCATTCCAGACAGAGAACTAAATTCATAGTTCAGGGATTAAACTCTTATAATCACCAACTGTTTCATTAAGACGCAGAAGTACTGGCCATACTACTGGCCATACCACCATCCTTCTTTCCAGCGCCACCTGTAGAGATCTGCTAGGAGTTTTTACTTATTTAAAGCAACTATTTTTCATCTTGACCAAGCAGAAATAACAATAGCATTCTTGCTCTAAAGCAGAAGTAGGTTAGCAGAGCTTGTCTGCCAAAACGAAGCTTATGTACAGTTGAAACCGGAAGTTTACATACACTCTATAAAAAGGCACATAACCCTTTAAAAAAGTCAGATGTTAATGTGACTAAACCTTTTCTCTTTTAGGTAAGTTAGGATTATCAAACTTGTTTCTGTTATGCTTAATAGCAGAATAATAAGAGAGATATTTTTTGAGAAATTGATATAACTTTTAAAGTCAAAAGTTTACATACAATAAAATGATTATGCCACAGAAAAAGCTCAGATGATGGTGTCAAGGTTTAGGAAGTTTACGATTGGCTAATTGACAGCATTTGAGTTAATTGGAGGCGCAACTGTAGAATAGTATTTAAGGATAACCTCAAACACACTGCTTCCTTTTGTGACAACATGGGAAAATCACCAAGCCATTATCAACAAAAAAGCCAGATTACAATTTGCTAAATTACACTGGGGAAAAGGAATAATGACATATCTTGTGGTCTGATGGAACTAAGATTGAACTGTTTGGCCATAATGACCAGTGTTACATTTGGAGAACAATGGGGAAAGCTTACAAGCTTAGGAACACCATCCTAACTGTGAAGTATTGGGGCGGCAGCATCATGTAGTGGGGCTGTTTTGCTTCAGGAGGGACTGGTCCACTTCACAGCATAGATGGCATAATGAAGAAAGAACATTATGTAGAAATACTGAACCAACATCTCAAGACATCAGCCAGGAAACTAAAACTTGGCCACAAATGGGTCTTCCAAACAGACCATGACCCTAAGCATACTGCCAAATTAGTTAAAATGTGGTTTAAGGACAATATAGGAAATGTTTTGGAATGGCCATCACAAAGCCCTGATCTCAATTCTATAGAAAAGTTGTGAGCAGAGTTTAACTCCATTAAAACTGCATTCTTCCAGCAGTTCCTCGCATTCAATAATCAGTTTGTCATGGGGGCATGCATGAAATAATCCTAAATGAAAATGATAGAGCTAAACCGCAGTTGAATTCGACAAATTAAAAATGAAACATCCTAAATGACATGAAACTCCAGAGGAAATGTGGATAGCGTGGTGACAATGACATTAATCGTTCTATGTGCTATAACATGTAAAATGGGATCATGAAAGGAACATTCAAAAAGCAACTCATGAGAATATTTTAATCATACTATTGTCTTTTTCAGATTAAGGCAAATAATTTGATTACTGATGTCCATGTAAACGTAGTCACTGTCTATCTCCCCTTTGTCTGCGTTTGTGTTGTCGCTGTGAAAATTGGCGTGTGCATGTAATGGAACTCCCCTTTACATGCAAACTCTTTCCTCATTTAACACACCATGGTTTCCGTTACATTCATTCTGCCATGGCGGGGCGTCACACCAAAATTGCCACGGCAACTTTACAGCTTCTCATTCAAAACATTCAGCCATTGTTGTTTTTTTTTATAGTGGGTTATAATCGCAACAAAACTCATTAAAATGTAACGGTAAGTGAATTATATCAGCGCAAGCTTTTCTGTAACCGTATTAGTGCTATGCGTTATTTGTTTAACCCTTTAAGGTGACTTGCTGACAGACTGACTGAAAGATGCGGGAGGCCAGCAAACACACTGTAGCTTTCAGTTAAGATGAACATAGTTTCCATTATTATACTTTATTTATAGATAAAGGTCTGTGGTTCTGCATACAATGACTTTATCTTGCTGGAGTTTATTGCCATTTCATTTTACTTCAGGACACATTAATGCCGCTCTGTGGGTCTATTGGAGAAATTCATAAATATTCCTAGCAAATCTAATAAATGTCAGAGACATACTTGTTACATAAACGCACTTGATCGCAGATCTGTGCTTGAGCAGCGTATATTTGAGGACGTGCAAGAAGCTTTGTGCACGGACAGAGGAAATCATTGCGCAAGCAAAGAGATTTGCATACTAGTATTACATAAATGCGATCAAGACTTACTATACTGCCCTCATGAAATTTCTCCATTTGTAATTGAAATAACGCCATAGGTAGTTGGTAGATTTGTGTAAAAGACCTGCCGCACAGCTGGAAAAAATTCTAATGGGGAACACCACACTCCCACCTAAACATAGCTGAACTCACCCACTTTCCTGTCTTTTTTCCAAACTAGAGGTGTAAAAACACCCTGCTAAGACATTGGGGGTTTCATGGCCCTTTAAAGTAAATTTAAGCCTGGTTTATACTCGACGTGTCAGCTAATTACGATAAGTTTGGTAAAGCCAAAAGTACATGGCAAAAGTAGAGACTCAAGTACACATTTAGAGAAATATGTTTTTCCACCAGTCATAGGTTTTACATTGATGTATATGTTACAATTTTGAATTTAAAACAGCTTTATAGTAGCAAATCTATAATTAACGAACAAATAATTTCTCTAATAACTGGAAAGGAATATTTGATCCTATCGGTTTACAATATACTGATGCCCTGTTTTTCTAGGCTTTATTGGTGATAACGGTCAGGAATGTTGGACCATTATTGCCTTTTTAGCAGAAGTAAAAGACAGACAGTAATGTGTGAATTGTTG